CTATCGATAAGCATTGCTATCAAAGTTACCTTATATACTTACGAGACAAGTTGTAATTAGTAATTTAAAGGGGAGCACTGGAAAATTAATAATTGCAACCCGCGAGATAGTCGGAGACATTAAGTAGATTAAGTTATAACAAATCCAAAATGGAAGTCAGATTTGAAACTGTACACTAATAAATAAATTTAGATTAAAGAAATGTATTAGAAATCAAAAGTAACCTTTGAATGCGTACATGAACCTATGTAACTGCATAGTGCGTTTAATTTAACCCAACTAAGTTGCAACACGGTGTATGGAAAACGTTTTGACTGAAAATTTAGAATGCTACCTTCAAAATAAAGCGTATCATTCTCTAGTACAATTTCACATAAAGAATGGTGCCGAGCGATAACGTGTAGACCATCAAGTTGAAAAGTAGGTTAGATAGTGTTCTTTAATATATAGCTTCGCATAACTTTTACTGTTTTGATGTGAGACTGTTTGGTGGAGTTAAATATAGATAACAATGGTCTTACTGTTTGTCTGTCGATTAGATAAATGGTCAGTTATAATAAAAAATTGAGATACTACATTCCATTTAGGATGTAGTCCGTGAAGGCTTTGGCTGTTAGCTCGAGGTCCAAACCACTAAATCCTTATTTTACATGTAGCTAGTGAACATAATCAGCCGTTGGGTTATGCACCCACTTCCTTGCATAAAATCGAGAATGGCATATCTTTATTCTCCGAAAAATCCGCAATGCACTTAATACCGCGAAACTCTGAGTTCAGAAATGTACAATGTTTGAATGTCTCCAAAACACGTTTTTTATCAATTATAGGAGCCAAGAACGAAGTCTCCCTTAAATTTCTTACAAAAATTGACTAGATGGACGCTTAAAAAATAACGCATTCAAAATTACACGTATATGAAACTGCTTTATCTGAGGAAGGCCCTGGTGCGTCTTCTGCGTGATAAAAAAGCTTATAGATTCAGAGGTATTGTCGCAGATTTTCTGCACACCGAGCATGTTGTATCGAATTCAGTTGTGTGCCGACCAATGAATATGATGATAGATACTCCGTAAAACCGGGTATCAGGATGCATAGACAAATAACATTATCTTCGGTTTCATTTCATACCAAAGTAAATTTCATAACAATCAATGGGAACTCTATTTATTTCATCATATCGCAATTCGTTCAAATAAATCCGGAATGTAATAGCTATGATTATAAGAAAATAAAAAAAGTCCAACACATTTAAGAACATGCTAATTTTAATTAAAATCGAATGAAAGTTTTTATGCATACTACTAGCTGCTTCGCATAAGACTGCCTGTGTGGTCTTCTCGTTTTCATTAAGTTTATTTTTAGTTATCTCCGTATCCGACTCGGGTTTCAACGCTTCCTCAATTATTTTTGCTCGATAATCGCCTCTGTACGACTGAGGGAACTTCCGGTGAATCGGTAATTTATTTTCCTCTTTCCGGCGCTGTAAGAAATATGATTAAAATAGGCGTTAGTCACTTCGGCTGCTTCCATATTCATTTTTCTGTGATAAGGCAAAATATCACTCGCTTTTGGAATTCGAAAGGGATTGGTTAATTGCTGAATGTCAGTTTTTTGGTTTTCGTTCTTGATAATTGCGGCCATTTTCAGAAACAGATTTCGTGAAATGGAGCTTAAATTTCCAGTGTTTATTCAAGGTCGTTAGTTGCCGAAACTTCTCAAGGCCATTAGTTTTTAACCCTTGCTTGGACTCAGGTTACCAAGAGTTCGAGTAACTAAATTAGTTTATTTTTTTCAAAATGTTTCTTGATTTAGCAGCAAAAAAACAGTACAAGGGAATTAAAACTGTTGCAATGGAATGAACTGCCACTGGATTTGGCAGTTCTCAGATCGCAGAGATGCTTCTGACAATATAGGGGGATCGCCAGTTCTGCAGTCGCTTATACACCTTTTAAGAAGCATCGCATACCGAATGGTCTCCAAACTACTTTTACGAACAGTAATCACAGTGGTTGAAATTCAAAACCCTCAAGCATATGT